ACACCGCACCACTCAATTACTACAACAGATGGATATTCGTTATATCAGAGATTTATCCAGGATTCCAAACTACATGCTCTTGTCAGCCAATTTGGGAAACAAAAAATTAATATTTAAATAGTAATGATAATAAATACAATCTCCATTTTGTTAAAAATTGGGACTATTTCAGAGGTTTTTAACATAGCGTTTTACCATTGCATTCAATGCAATTATGTAAAACCGAATTAAATCCTTTTCCTCTTCTTTGGTCCTGTTATCTGTCATTAGTGATATATATGTCGCCCCAAGAAGCCGTAACATTGGTTTTAAGAATAACAATGAATGGAATATTCTAAATTCCAATTTGGGAATTTTTACTGACATTTGCTGAAGACGATACAATGAAGAATATTGTTCAAATAGATGCAATTCAAATATGTAGGAACACAAACATTTCAGTGAGTGAGTATGGTTTTGCGCCGCTTTTAGCAATATTCCAGCAATATCACGACAGAGGACACCAGAAATGGCCTTCACACATAGTACCCATGTCGGGAATCTAACCCGGGTCTTCGGCATGACGAGGATGCTTTAACCACATGGCTACCTGACCCCCCCACAAACATTTCAGATTGTTCATGTAGAAGAATCATATTTCAATATTCACCCAAAATGGTTTGAACCTTGCATAACAAAACCAAGGGATAGACAGACCACTTCCCTGATGCACATCTAACAACTATACACAAACCAGAAACAATGATCCTGCTTATATCACGAAATGAGTGAGTGAGTGAGTATGGTTTTACGCTGCTTTTAGCAATATTCCAGCAATATCACGGCGGGGGACACCAGAAATGGGCTTCACACATTGTACCCAATTCGGTTATCGAACCCGGGTCTTCTCCGTGACGAGCGAACGCTTTAACCACCAGGCTACCCAACCGCCCCTATCCCAAAATGAAATATTTACAAATATTTATCAGTGGCAGTCAGACATTTATTTGCAACAAAAGTTTCATAAGTTTCATTGCATGCAACAAATAAAAACAGAAGAAATCTCTAACATCTCTGAAGCAAAAAGCTTGTTTCTGTTTCAATTTGCTTCCACTGACATATCTATAAAAACAGGACAGTTAACTCATTGTTTCAAATTAATAATGAAAGTCAAAAGGTCATTGTCACAGGGGTGTGGAAAATCAATGCCCAACATGCCCAACTCGCCAGACATGCCCGACTCGCCAGACATGCCCGACTCGCCAGACATGCCCGACTCGTCAAACATGCCAGACTCGCCAAACATGCCAGACTCGCCAAACATGCCAGACTCGCCAAACATGCCAGACTCGCCAGACATGTAAAATAGCCTGACAAACAGAAATGCTAGCTGCACTTGTCCGCGCACAGCCATAAAATGTAGCAGACCTTGTGTCAATTTTGATAACATTTTCTAAACAAGTACTAAACATAGCTTTGAAAAAGTGTAAACATCGCAAGTATTACCAATCCAACCGACGGCTGTGCATTGTTTACTTCCTTCCGACATTGATCATGTGTCAGGACACACACTCTGATTGGCTTATCAGAGTACCATGTAACCAACTGGGCAGCTTGTAAGACGTCATGGCACATCACACTGTCTGCTCAAAATGTACGGTTTTCGTTTTGTATTCTTCATGTTCGGAAAACAGGAGATATGAAAACTGATCAGAACCAATATTGAAAGAAAAACCGCAGACACTAAATTCACAGATTTTTGGATTGGAAATCCACTTTTGGTCAATAATCTGGATATGTGATTACCGTATTCGACGTAATAAGCGCCCGCAGCCATATTTGCTAATATACTGGCTAGTGAACAATCCCAATGAGAACCCCTTCCAATTGATCAATGTACACAAGACCGATTTATTTGTGTATAATACACACTCGTGTGTTATATGCACCCTTAACTATGGGCAATTAAATTCTGGAAAATATATCTGTCATGTATAATACACACAGATTTTTCTTTTGTATCATTTCAGGCTGCCAGCATAAACCACAAAATTTACAATATTTCAACTCTGTTTTTTTCTCTCACCAAAATTATATTCTAATAAGAGACCCCAATTTCTAATTTTGAGAGCGCCCTGGGCGCTTATTATGACGAATACGGTATCCCTGGACAAGTTCACAATCTTGAAATTTCCACTCCCCTGGTCTCATTTCTAATGCTATTAGATTATGACGTGGGGTCCGAAGACTCAAGTGCCACAAAAGTGAACCTCAAGGATCCAAGGAGCCCCTTAATTACGCACTCTGTAACAATTCCAATTGATCTGAACCATCAACAAATGCCTTGCTGCTTCTCCCGTGATCTTCGAGTCACACAAAATGCTATTTTCCTAACAAGCATGAATATGTGTTCTAGTTAAGTCCACCCTGAGGAGTAAATGCACATGAATACAGTACTGTCCTTCACACATCACACATTCAGCTGATGACTAACACACTTCATATTTATTAGTTGTCATCCAAACAGTATCTACAACGTCAACCCACGATGAGGCCAACGCCGAACCTAAACTGTGACTTCACGTGGTTGGCATAGCCGCTCAGTGCAAATGTGAAGGGGAAAGGCAGGAGTTTCTTCTCCAGAACAGCTCCTATACACCAGTTAGTGTCAAACTGACCTGAAATATACAACACATGTATTATCCACAGGGTGAGTGAGTGAGTGAGTGAGTGAGTGAGTGAGTGAGCGAGTGAGTGAGTGAGTGAGGTTTTATGCCGCTTTTAGCAATATTCCAGCAATATCACAGCGGGGGACACCAGAAAAATGGGCTTCACACATTGTACCCATGTCGGGAATCGAACCCGGGTCTTTGGCGTGGCGAGCGAACGCTTTAACCACAAGGCTACCCGACCGACCCGAGTGAGTGAGTGAGTGAGTGAGTGAGTGAGTGAGTGAGTGAGTGAGTGAGTGAGTGAGTGAGTGAGTGAGTGAGTTGGGTTTAACGCCGCTTTTAACAGTATTTCAGTTATATCGCGGCGTGTCAGATTAATGTGGAAAAGGAAAGCCTGAAGTGATGCAGGTCTCTGACGTTTACCACTTCGGTGAAACCCACGAGCACGGGTATGGTGCTGACAAACCTAGAAACAACCTTTAGTTTTTACATTTTTAATCTAGAATACATCAAAGTATGTTTTAAAGCCTAGTCGCCAGTTTGAAACTAGTGTCGTAAAGCTTGAGAAAGCTGCCTTCTGATTGGCCAATGTCGATTTAACTCTTTCAACACCAGTCAACCAGAAGTGTTTACTGCTGGGACACCGAGTTCCCAGAGGCTCTTGTGTGATAGATGAAGCCAACATTTATCAAAGAAAATACCTGCTTGTAAAATATATTTGCTACTACATGTTATACACCATTTGAAAGGTCTGATCCTATGGTTTTTAAATATGAAAGTTATATTTTTCACATTATTTAAAATAATGCCTTTACAACTTAATTAAATTCGTTGTAAATAAAATATGTACGCTAACACGTTGTTAACATCCAGATTAAGGACCAAGGAAGCGAAAACTTGAAGAAATACCCCCGTTTTCGAGGTTTCGTATGAATAACACGTTCGTCGAAGAATGGCATAATATGACACATTGCTGGAAAGCTTATTCCTTCATCTACACGCTCGTAACATCGACTGGTTTTTTTCCGTAGTTAAAACAAGCGATTTCATTGGATTAAAATTGGTTTCTAATGACGCTTTCTTGCTGAAATCTGCTACAAGTTTCGTGATTGGTCAATTCTGAGCATGTGACCTAAGGCAGCCAATCAAATTACAGGTGTGATACCAAGCTCTTGTTCGATAAATTACAGAAGAATTTTGTTAAATCGTGTTATTCTGAACGTTTTGAGCAGGAAATCACGATACATATTAAAAATATGGAACTTCGTGAATGTATCGTGCTAGGTTACGAGCTGTGACAAAGATTTTTCATGCATTTATTTTTGCATTAAACATCGTGTCCGAGCCGAGAATTCAAGGCGACGAAAGCCGAGATGTCATTTGACTTACATTACATGCGATCGCACGAAAAGATGAAAATAATAACTTAGATGTAAGTTTGATTACTTTTAGATATATTTTTGTTGATTTTATATATTACTTTGTATAATATATTTAAAGATTTGTTTAAAACGTCTTTATTTTCCTCTTTGACGTGTTCGATGTGGACCCGTTGTCGAAATGTGTGTCCGAGAATTTTATTTTCAATAACATCGCGGGAAATAGTGAATATTTTTTTAATTTAACGATAAAAAATGTTAAATTGAAATGGAATATGTATTTAAGACATTGTGAAATGTGATAGATTTAATAAATGAATGATATTACAGGTAGGTCCATAAAAATATAGTACTATTTTGACGTGACTACGGCTTGGCCGGATAACCGGCCTGCGGTGTCTGGGGACTCGATGCTTCTTGGCCGGATAACCGGCCTACGGTGTTGAAAGAGTTAATGTCAGTCATTTCACTGGTCGGTCAAAATTTGCGAAAGGTCGTTCTGAAGTGACCCTTAAGGGGATGTCCTCAGGTCTTTGTTTAGTTGTAGCAAGAAATAAGATCTGATTTCAATGAGATTGAAAATGATGGTATTTGGTTTTATTGTTGATTATTTGCCAATTCCCTGTTCATTCATGATTTCTTTCAGTATTGTTTATCAGTTGATTGCTCCTACCTTTAAACACTTCAGTGAGTTGGGTTTTATGTCGCTTTGAGTGAGTGAGTATGGTTTTACGCCGCTTTTAGCAATATTCCAGCAATATCACGGCGGGGGACACCAGAAATGGGCTTCACACATTGTACCCATGTCGGGAATCGAACCCATGTCTTCGGCGTGACGAGCGAACGCTTTAACCACTAGGCTACCCGACCACCCCTATGTCGCTTTGAAAAATATTCCTGATACATCATGTAGAGGTGGAACGATACAGCAAGGTCACAATACAATATCTATCATGATACATGGGTCACGATATGATACGTATCGCGATACGCATATTTATGTCAAATGGTGTGGAAACTTCTTACTGTAAATATTTCAGAGCTGGTTCAAAAGCAAAAACTAGCTGTAAAACACATGTTCGTTGCGACTTTTTTAAATAGTAAAATTGAAACTCTAATTTCAACACATTTGTGACATTTGACTGACAAAAACTCTTGTATCAATACAGAAAAAGAAATATCGTATATCATATATCGTTTCGTCGCATGTAAATTCATGAAGCACCAGTGCACAGATGTATCGTTTCACCTTAATATCATGGCGTGTCAGCTAAATGTGGAAGGAATGCTGTTTATAGTGAGTGAGTTGGGTATAACGCTGCTTTTAACAGTATTCCAGTTATATCGCGGCGTGTCAGCTTAATGTGTGAGGAAAGACCGAAGTGATGCAGGTCTTAGACGTTTACCACTTCGGTGAAACCCATGAGCACGGGTATGGTGCTGACAAACCTAGAAACATAATCGGGGCATACCGTGATTCGAACCCATAATCATAGGTTTCAGGCGTGCCCAAGGGACGCAACTCTGCACAGTGAATCACAGCACCTGAGACGACAGGGCCACCCATGTCCCCGATTGCTGTTTATAAAATTTAGGGCAAATAATAAGGCAAACTTTCATCACACAAGAAAATGAATCAATCCACTTACCTCTGAACAGAACATTAGCAGTGGGTATTTCTATTTGATATCCTACAGTTGCCACACTTTCTTGCATCCTTAAACTGGTTTCTAACTCCGCTCCTACTTGTAGCGTTTCGTTAATTTTCTGGTAGTAGCAAGCGTGGAGATTCCCTGCTAACGGACTAACGTTTGCACTTAATGCCCATTGGTCACCTGCAATAAACACAGTATCATTGGTTACGTAGGACTTCATAAGAAAATCACAGTGAGGCAGTGAAGTTACTGGTAAGTGCCATATCAAAATAGCCCACAGGGTAATTTTTTCCATAGCTCGCCAGAAATTAAAAGTGGTAGTCCACATGGAAATGTCTTGTGTCCTGCTGTATTGTAACAGTCTTGGACTAGTGGTGTTTGTTGTTTAACGCCACACTCAGCAATATTCCGGCTATATGACAGGGGTCTGTAAATAATCAAATCTGGGCCAGACAATCTAGTGATGGATATCATGAGCTTCAATCTATGCTCTTGTTATACGATGACCACCCGATCCTGTTCGTCGCCTCATACGGCAAGCATGGGTGCTGAAGACCTTTCCTAACCCGGATCTTCACAGGGCTCGTGAACTAGCAGACAGTAAATAATCAAGGCCCGAGCAGGCAGTGGCTGAAATCGTGAGCAATGATCTACTTTGACAGGCAATGATTTGGTTGGTTGGTTGGTTTGTTGTTTGACGCTGCACTCAGCAATATTCCAGCTATATGACGGCGGTCTGTAAATAATAGAGTCTGGACCAGACAATATAGTGATTAATATCATGAGCATTGATCCACGCAATTGGGATCGATGACATGCATCAACAAAGTCAGCGAGCCTGACCACCTGATCCCGTTATTCGCCTTACCAATTCAGGTGGAGAGTGGATAATAATCAGGTGATAAATCTGGTTATACAAACTCAAGATGTCATCAAGTTAGGTGACAGAAATGTCAACACTGACCCACTGCCTAAGACTTGATAGTTAATATGGCATCTGTGAAAGAAACTATATTCACTATTCAAAACACAGCTTGCCTCAGATGCTTTGGCCTTTTTATGTTCTTACATGTTTCATATTTTTATTATGCCACCCCTTCATAAATGGTATTTGATAATCCTGTTCATCTGCCTGCAGTTGAAAATATTAATGAACAATCTAAAGATGTCATCAAGTTAGGTGACAGAAATGTCAACACTGACCCACTGCCTAAGACTTGATAGTTAATATGGCATCTGTGAAAGAAACTATATTCACTATTCAAAACACAGCTTGCCTCAGATGCTTTGGCCTTTTTATGTTCTTACATGTTTCATATTTTTATTATGCCACCCCTTCATAAATGGTATTTGATAATCCTGTTCATCTGCCTGCAGTTGAAAATATTAATGAACAATCTAAAGATGTCATCAAGTTAGGTGACAGAAATGTCAACACTGACCCACTGCCTAAGACTTGATAGTTAATATGGCATCTGTGAAAGAAACTATATTCACTATTCAAAACACAGCTTGCCTCAGATGCTTTGGCCTTTTTATGTTCTTACATGTTTTATATTTTTATTATGCCACCCCTTCATAAACGGTATTTGATAATCCTGTTCATCTGCCTGCAGTTGAAAATATTAATGAACAATCTAAAGATGTCATCAAGTTAGGTGACAGAAATGTCAACACTGACCCACTGCCTAAGACTTGGTAGTTTTTATAGCATCCGTGAAAAAAAACTATATTCACTATTCGAAACACAGTTTGCCTCAGATGCATATAAAAAAGAAAGAAAACATATTTCAAATGACCCTACAAACAAAGATGCTTGCTGTGGACATAGTTATGATGAGAACTGCCAAATCCTACCTCGTCCTTTATGGAGTACCATATTCGACTTAATAAGCGCCCTGCTCCAATAAGCGTCCACGGCGATATTCTCTAATACATTGGCCTTTGAACAATCCCAATTAGCACCCCTTCTGACTGATCAATGTACACAAGACTTATTTCTTCATGTATAATACACACTCGTATGTTATAGTGTTATATGCACCCTTAATTATGGGCAATCAAATTCTGGAAAATATATCTGTCGTGTATAATACACACATACCTTTCTTTTGTATCATTTCAGGCTGTCAGCATAAACCACGAAGTTTACGATCTTTCAACTCTGTTTTTTCCTCTCACCAAAATCATTTCTAATAAGAGCCCCATATTTCTGATTTTGAGAGCGCCCCAGGCGCATATTACGTCGAATACGGTATGCCTATGAACCTATGCCTTGTGGTATCCTGATCCATGTTACACGTTTTATGAGTATCCGGTAATTTATGATAGGTGACAGATATGTCAACAAGTGGTATTCTGATCTAAGTTACAGGTCTTATAATAATCCTGTTCATTTTCATGTGGTTGAAAATATTAATTTCTTTATTTGTTTGTTGTTTAACGCTGAACTCAGCAAAATTTCATTTCAAGCCATATGATGGCGGTCTGCAAATAATCAAGTTTGGACCAGACAATCCAGTGATTGACTTGAGCATCAATCTGAACAACCAAGTCTGCTAGCCTGACCAACCGATCCCGTTTGTCGCCTCTTACGACAAGCACAGTCGCCTCTTACGACAAGAATCGGATGCGAAAGACCTAATCTAACTCAAATCTTCACAGGTGAAAATATTAATACAATCTGAAGATGTCATCAAGTTAGGTGACAGAAATGTCAACACTGACCCACTGCCTAAGACTTGATAGTTAATATTGCATCTGTGAAAGAAACTATATTCACTTTTCAAAACACAGCTTGCCTCAGATGCTTTGGCCTTTTTATGTTCTTACATGTTGTATATTTCTATTATGCCACCCCTGCATAAATGGTATTTGATAATCCTGTTCATCTGCCTGCAGTTGAAAATATTAATGAACAATCTGAAGATGTCATCAAGTTAGGTGACAGAAATGTCAACACTGACCCACTGCCTAAGACTTGATAGGTATTATAGCATCCGTGAAAGAAACTATATTCACTTTTCAAAACACAGCTTGCCTCAGATGCACAATTGTTTTGTTTTTTTATTCATTTTTTCATTCCAAAGAATTACAAACAAAGTGCCCTTTGAAAGGTAAATGGTGAAAATCCCCATGTTAAATTTTTTTTCTTCTTATTTTCCTAAATTCAGAGGTATTTTAACGTTGAATTTAAACAACACTGCACTGAATGAAAATAATGTTAAACAAAGCACATCAAGTCTCTCTCTTCATTGGTCCTGTTATCAGTGAATACAAGTCACCTCCAAAAAGCCACAACATCACCTATAACCCTTTGAACATGAATAGAAGTACAAATTCCAATCTGGGTCATTACCAACATTTGCTCAGACATGAGGGTCGAATATTGGCTACTGAGGAGGTCCAGATGAAGTCCTGCTGGAGTTCTACAATTTTAAAGAGTGAGGTACTGCAACCTATTCTGACCTTGAAATGAGTGACCTTCATGTTAAAGTAATGATGACTGATTATTATCAAGTTAGGTGACAGAAATGTCAACACTGACCCACTGCCTAAGACTTGATAGTTAATATAGCATCCGTGAAAGAAACTATATTCACTATTCAAAACACAGCTTGCCTCAGATGCTTTGGCCTTTTTATGTTCTAGTTATTTAATTAGTCAATATTCTATCATCATGGGAACAACAGCAGTATCAAGGAATCAATATTGATTTGTTGGAGTGAATTTTGACAGCAGGAAAGCCGACTTAGGCAAGAGTGACAAATAAAGTTGTTGTACAGCATCAGCAATGTTCCATCCCTTGTATGACATTGGACAAGATGAACTGCAACTATTGAAACGGACATCAATAAAATCACTACAGCCTCCTTACATTACCCCCACACAATATTCAAGTTCAAAATCTAATACAAACAATACCTCAAGTGTCATCAAGTTAGGTGACAGAAATGTCAACACTGACCCACTGCCTAAGACTTGATAGTTAATATTGCATCTGTGAAAGAAGCTATGTTCACTATTCAAAACACAGCTTGCCTCAGATGCAATGTAACAGAATCTAACACATTTTCTTGTGTTGAAATGTCAAATAATGAATTGAAGCAAACTGCAATGAACAACAAGAGTTTGCCACTAATGTGGCTATATATCCCCCGCCCCTGTTGCAGAATTTATGACATAATTAAATCTTAACAAACCCTAACCTCTTTTAACCAAGGTGGAACTTGTCATGGAAAGTGTAAAAAAAAGATGAGTTTGGAACCTAAGTCCATCTTGTTGTCATGGAAACGTGAAAAATATAAATTTATAAAATTTCTCAGTAGCAAAAGGCACCAGTTCAGCATGTACCTGACAGACCTGCAAAGTTTGATGAAAAATATTAAACGGTTTATGAGTTATGCTCCGGAAACGAAACCCTACCCTCACAGAACCTAAGTCCATCTTGTTGCCATGGAAACGTAAAAAAATAAACATTTCTAAAATTTCAAAATAGCAAAAGGCACCAGTTCAGCATGTACTTGATAGACCTGCAAAGTTTTATTAAAAAATATTGAACGGTTTCTGAGTTATGCCCTGGAAACGAAACGTGACGGACGGACGGACGGACGAACGAACAGACTGAAGGAGCCCGTTTCTATATCCCCAGCCAACTTTGTTGGGCGGGGGATAATGAACAAGCTATGAAAGCTCATAAATACTGAGCCATTAATCTTAGTTTAAGCCACATCACTGATCAGTATTTCAGCCGTATCCCAGAAGGCTATCACAAACCAGTGATTGATGCTATGAGCAACATCCCGTGATGTCGGGGTACGAGGACACACAATCAACAGAGTCACCAAGTCTGACCACCCAGTCCATGGCGTTGCCTCTCATGAAAAGCATAATAATAATAACCAACCAATACTCTCAAACATGATTCATCAAACAATACTTCAAGTGTCATCAAGTTAGGTGACAGAAATGTCAACAGTGACCCACTGCCTAAGACTTGACACTTAATATAGCATCTGTGAAAAAAACTATATTCACTTTTCAAAACACAGCTTGCCTCAGATGCATACATGGTAAAGAATTCACATATTTCTTGTGTGCACGTCATGAACCTTACAACACTTGTAGTAACATTTAAGCTGATTATGAAAACAGCTATATTAGCAACTACTTTGATGTTTACAACACTCAGGATATTTCAGCTATATGACGACAGCCTGTAAATAATCAAGTCTGGACCAGACAATCCAGTGATTGATATCAGGAGCAATGCCCCCTGCCTTCAACTTGGGGAAATGGTAGAACAGGTGTTCGATCATGTGCAGGATTTGATAGACTTTCCATCATTTCAAAACACATCAGATTAAAAAATGCGTACTCTGAATATTCTTAACCAACCTATACTCTACAACCATGATTAATCAACCAATACTCTGCAACCATGATTAATCAACCAATACTCTACAACCATGATTAACCAACCAATACTCTACAACCTTGATTAACCAACCAATACTCTACAGCCTTGATTAACCAACCAATACTCTACAATCTTGATTAATCAACCAATACTCTACAAACCATGATTAATTAACCAATACTCTACAACATTGATTCATCAACCAATACTCTACAACATTGATTAATCAACCAATACTCTCTAACCAACACTAACCAACACTCTCTAACCAACACTAACCAATACTCTCTAACCAATACTCTCTAACCAATACTCTCTAACCAATACTCTCTAACCAATACTCTCTAACCAACACTCTCTAACCAACACTCTCTAACCAACACTAACCAATACTCTCTAACCAAGTCACCTGACCACCAGATCCATGGAGTTGCCTCGGAAGTGTGTTTTATTTTCTCCAAAACATATTCAACACAGAATTGAATCTAACGTCTAAAGATGTCTTCAAGTTAGGTGACTGTAGTGTCAACAATGACCCACTGCCTAAGACTTGATAGTTAATGTTGCACCTGGTGAAAAAAACTTTATTCATTTTCTAAATAAAGCTTGCCTCAGATGCAATCGAAAAGAACTAAACACATTTTCTTGTGTTCATGGAAAAAACAAGGGAGCTTGCTTTAACACTCATTATGAACAAGCTATGAAAGCCCATAAAAACTTAGCCATCATATTCACATTGAAACCACAACCGTATTCCAGCTACATCCCAGGAGGCAATCACAAACCAGTGATCGATGTCATGAGCAACATCCCATGATGTCGGGGTACATCACGCCGCTTTCAAAAGCAATGACGATTCTTCAATTGATTTGCAATTTACCCGTAAGTCTGGCTGCCAGTGACAATATGGAGATCTCCCTTCCAGGAACCTGCTGGCCGTATTGGTAGAGAAGCTCAGCACCCAGGTCCAACCTTGAGCTCACCCTCTGTAGGTACTGACCAACACAGATCCCTGAAACAAACAACATTCACATCAGCTTAATCAACATGGAAATGTCCATATAAGATCTTTAAGTGTCAGCAATACTCCAGCTGTATCAAGGCAGCACTCATGAAGATGGTTAGGTGTGCACTCATCTTCCCGAGGCAAGTGAGTTACCATATTCGACGTAATAAGCGCCCTGCTCTAATAAGCGCCCACGGCGATATTTGCTAATATATTTGCTAGTGAACAATCCCAATTAGCACACCTTTGATCAATGTGCACAAGACTGATTTATTTGTGAATACTATGCACTCGTGTGTTATATGCACCCTTAATTATGGGCAATTAAATTCTGGAAAAATATATCTGTGGTACATAAAATTTCAGGCTGTCAGCATAAACCACGAAATTTAGCTTTCAACTTTTTCTCCAAAATAATATTCTAGTAAGAGCCCCCACTTTCTAATTTTGAGAGCGCCCTGGGCGCTTATTACGTAGAATACGGTTACTGAGTATAAAAGTCCAGTTTCCATCCTTGACAAACTAGGCTGGTATTATGGAGTTACATTTTGGCTGGACTAACGAGTCTATGCATAGTCCAATCAAAATCGCACACCGAAATCAAAATCCAGTTAGTAAAGTGTCATGAAGATTTCGGTCGACTGCAGGATTTGCAAAGCATGTGCACCGCTAACTCGTCAACAGATATTTTCTATATCTTTTCATGTTTTTAATCAAGGTGCTCATGTGATTTGTTGCACTTCGCGATGTAAGACTCGTTTTATCACAATATAGATCTTGATTATCGATCAGATCGTCTTGACTTGGCACCACCGTTTTGTTTAAAGCAAATGCAAGTGATACGAGAGCTTGAATCTGATTGGTCAATAGGAGAGGCATAGAAAGGAAATAACTCGTAATAGCAACTGGTGGCGCTACGATCGAGCCCAGGAATTCCAGCCTAACTCTCTTGCCTCGGGAAGATGGTGTGCACTTTGAAACAGCAAGAACTTTTTGATACATCTTCAAACTCCCCATGGAGCTGATAATCAAGTGCACAGACCGGGGTAAAAATGTAGTGCTTTGAGCGTATTAGGGTATTGATTTGGCATATAATAAACATGCACATTTTCAAAACACAGCTTGCCTCAGATGCTTTGTCCTTTTTATGTTCTTACATGTTGTATATTTTTATTATGCCACCCCTGCATAAGCGGTATTTGATAATCCTGTTCATCTGCCTGCAGTTGAAAATATTAATACAATCTAAAGATGTCATCAAGTTAGGTGACAGAAATGTCAACACTGACCCACTGCCTAAGACTTGATAGTTAATATTGCATCTGTGAAAGAAACTATATTCACTTTTCAAAACACAGCTTGCCTCAGATGCTTTGGCCTTTTTATGTTCTTACATGTTGTATATTTCTATTATGCCACCCCTGCATAAACGGTATTTGATAATCCTGTTCATCTGCCTGCAGTTGAAAATATTAATGAACAATCTAAATATGTCATCAAGTTAGGTGACAGAAATGTCAACACTGACCCACTGCCTAAGACTTGATAGTTAATATAGCATCTGTGAAAGAAACTATATTCACTTTTCAAAACACAGCTTGCCTCAGATGCTTTGCAATTTAATGTTCTAGTTATGTAATTAGTCAATATTCTATCAACATGGGAACAACAGCAGTATCAAGGAATCAATATTAATTTGTTGATAGTGAATTTTGACAGCAGGAAAGCCGACTTAGGCAAGAGTGACAAATAAAGTTGTTGTACAGCATCAGCAATGTTCCATCCCTTGTATGACATTGGACAAGATGAACTGCAACTATTGGCACAGACATCAATAAAATCACTACAGCCTCATTACATTACCCCCACACAATATCCAAGTTCTATCATTTAAAGTCTGCAGTTTGGGAAACACTTTCAGCTCTTGTATTAATATGACTAAGTGATATCCCAATCCATATTTCATACATTATATTTTATATCTTAAAATAATCATTCATTTGCCTGTGGCTGAAAACATTAATACAGATTGAATGTAAAGATGTCATCAAGTTAGGTGACAGAAATGTCAACACTGACCCACTGCCTAAGACTTGACAGTTAATATTGCATCTGTGAAAGAAACTATGCTCACTATTCAAAACACAGCTTGCCTCAGATGCTTTGGCCTTTTTATGTTCTTGTTCCATAAATTTATCAAGAGTGAGTGAGTGAGTGGTGAGGTGAAATGGAGTTTAACCTTGCGTTCAAGATTATTGCACTTATATAGCAACGTGCATGCACGCGTGTGTTGCTGCTTGTACTAGTCCGGACTGATGCCGATTTATAGTGCTAGCCCACTGAGATACCCTTCCGCAGTTTAACATGAATACCCCACTCAGACACAGTATACCGACTCCGTGCCGACCAGTCCTTGTTTTAGCCCCTTAATGCCGAGCGCCAGACAGGGTAACAACAAGTACCATCTTTTAACATCTTTTGGTATGACGCGGCTGGGGATCGAACCTCGAACCTTCTGCTCTCCGGGCGGACACTCTACCACAAGACCAAGGAGGCGGTCAGTGAGTGAGTGATTGAGGTCGGTTTAACGCCGCTTTTAACAGTTTTCCAGTTATATTGCAGCGTGTCAGCTTAATGTGGGAGGAAAGCCCGAAGTGATGCAGGTCTCCGATGTTAACCACTTCGGTGAAACCCATGAGCACAGGTATGGTGCTGACAAACCTAGAAACATAATCGGGGCGAACCAGGATTCGAACCCACAATCATAGGTTTCTGGCGTGCCCAAGGGACACGACTCTGCACAGCGAATTGCAGCGTCTTGGACAACTGGGCCACCCGTGCCCTGAATGAAACATATGCATAAAGTGAATAAGTACATCTCAGTTCTCACACAATAACCAGAAAATCTACTGAAGTGATGTGTTGCTTTTGTCTGTTCGTTGTTTAATGCCACACTTTATGACTTGGCAATATTCCAGCTTCATGACTGCAGTCAGTAAAGAATCGAATCTGGACCAGACAATCAAGTAATGGACGTCACGAGCATCAATCTATGCCACTGTGATGTGATGACATGCATCAACCAAGTCAGCAAGCCTGACCACCAGATACCGTTGGTTACCTCTTATGACAAGTATAGGTTGTTGAAGACCAATTCTAACCTGGATGTTCATGGGGGACAAGCATGGGTTGCTGAAGACCTATTCTAACCTGGATATTCATGGGGGACAAGCATGGGTTGCTGAAGACCTATTCTAACCTGGATATTCATGGGGGACAAGCATGGGTTGCTGAAGACCAATTCTAACCTGGATATTCATGGGGGACAAGCATGGGTTGCTGAAGACCAATTCTAACCTGGATCTTCATGGGGGACAAGCATGGGTTGCTGAAGACCTATTCTAACCTGGATCTTCATAGGGGACAAGCATGGGTTGCTGAAGACCAATTCTAACCTGGATCTTCATGGGGGACAAGCATGGGTTGCTGAAGACCAATTCTAACCTGGATCTTCATGGGGGACAAGCATGGGTTGCTGAAGACCAATTCTAACCTGGATCTTCATGGGGGACAAGCATGGGTTGCTGAAGACCTATTCTAACCTGGATCTTCATAGGGGACAAGCATGGGTTGCTGAAGACCAATTCTAACCTGGATCTTCATGGGGGACAAGCATGGGTTGCTGAAGACCAATTCTAACCTGGATCTTCATGGGGGACAAGCATGGGTTGCTGAAGACCAATTCTAACCTGGATCTTCATGGGGGACAAGCATGGGTTGCTGAAGACCAATTCAAACCTGGATCTTCATAGGGGACAAGCATGGGTTGCTGAAGACCAATTCTAACCTGGATGTTCATGGGGGACAAGCATGGGTTGCTGAAGACCAATTCAAACCTGGATCTTCATGGGGGACAAGCATGGGTTGCTGAAGACCAATTCAAACCTGGATCTTCATGGGGGACAAGCATGGGTTGCTGAAGACCAATTCAAACCTGGATCTTCATAGGGGACAAGCATGGGTTGCTGAAGACCTATTCTAACCTGGATCTTCAGGGGTAGAGAATGATGTTTCTAAATACAATTGGTCCTTTTAACATTGTGATGTCTGGGCAAGTGAGGCAAACTATGGGCAAATTTTCACATAAAGGGCCCATGTCAGAAAATTCCTTAACATTCCCCAAAATGATTGGGCTAAATCTTGCATTCCTGATTATTTGTCCTATTTAAAACTACATGCTGTTTCATTCGGATTCATCAATGTCGTCAAGAGCGAAACAGGCAATCAACGATGACTGGCTGAATTAGGCTTGACGTCTTCCTCTAGCATCGACAAACAGTCTGTATTCAAATCAGTCAAACCCAGTTTGTTCCTGATGCTGCAGTGATAATTACCTCGTCTCAGGGTTCATAGTTTTGAACAAGATGGAAGCCCAAAACAGTTTCGTCTTAAAGTTAGTCAGGGGCACCTACTGAAGCAGGACACTTATTGCAGCAAATACAGTAAGTGTCCGTTTAAGAAAATCTTCTACCTTGAAAACAGGGCCCTGAATCTTATAGGATCAGCAAGTCAACAACAAAATGCTGTTGCGTCATCAAGTATTATCTTAGGGGTCAATTTAACTGCTGGCCCATTGGCCCGTGGCAAGTTAAAATTACAAAAGGCTTGCTGAAACGTAAAGTAGATGGTCCGTCTGGCTAGTCAAAATTTCCCCCCTTCTCCATGTATGTTTGATTTTTTAATTGGACCATCTTGGTAGAATGACAACAGGACGCCATTTTGTAATTTTGGGTACAACAACGTCCTAATTTGCTCATAAATCACCATGAATTGAGGAAAATGGAAGTCAAGATTTATTCTCAGAGTGCAGGAAAAAAACTCTCAGGGATGAGTTCTCAAACTTTCAGAGCCCTGCTAGGTGGCTACACGACTTCAGGTTCGGCCACTTTGCGGCCTCCACCCTATAGTTATAGGCCAAACAGTTTGGAGAAGGGCCAGCAACTTATGAAAGGAGCAAGCACTGCTGGCAACAGACAAATTTG